TCATCTTTGACTAAAAGCTGAAAGACTTTACCTTCACCTTTCCCCAAAACAACCCTACAATTCTTACCTTTCGTTTTTCCTAGTTTTATGGCGGTGACGGTCTTCCAAACACTGATACAGTCCGTTGTCCGACATGACCGACGCCTGGAGCACCCCCCCAAACCCCCTGAGTCCGAGCGTGGTGTACAAAGACTATATACTAAAGACAGAAATGAGTGTAAAATAGTCGGTAATAATACTAGCTGAGACAGCAAGACACAGTGACGTCATTTTATGTAGTCCAGAATTAGGATGGCGCTGCAGTCGTACTTCTGTGACGTCAAGTTGTCGTCTGCATGTTTTCAAAATCTTAGACTAAAGCCAAGAATAGCCATTTTATAATCAGTAAAATTATAGATGACACCATTATATTTCAGTTTAACTTTGTTCTCATAGATACTAAGAAATTCGTAATTTTATTAAAGAAAAAAGTGGATACCTTTGGGATACTTTTTAGTAGATTATGGCTACGTTTTTACCTTTTTATTACTTCTGTGGATATGTTTTGATTTTTCCCACTAACACACTGTAGCCAAGACTTCTGGGCGCGCAGTTCACCATGCCGGGTAGATCGCATCCCTGCGTTATTTGCAAGAGGAGAAAGGATACACATCCACATTTTCATTTTCATCGGTTCCCAAAGGACAGATATAGGTAACTTAAGTATTTAACCTATTGTGTGTTACAGTGAAAATGTGCAATTATATATCGAAATACATTTCAAATCAGAGGCAGCAGCTTCATCAATCACTCCGACTCTTGATACGAATTTGACAGGTGTCGCGGATGGCAAAATACCATTGACATTACCAGAATATACGTGAAGAACTGTGGGGTATAACACAGAAGTTATATTTATATTGTGCATGATTAATAATTATTAATAATTAATGTTAATTTTTCTGATAATGTACCATGTTGGATGAAATATTATAATACATCAGTAACGAAGACACAACTTGAATTTTGGGTTTTGTGTTTGTTTATTTCAATAAAGATAAACAATAAGAATGCCGTTTAATAGCCAAGAACTCTACTGAAAACAAGGCAATTGTTCCCCCCAATATGTAACGGCATGACAGGTGATTCATCACTTGCAGTAATTTTATGGTAATTGTGCAGAGAAAAGATTTTCTTAATTTCTGAACTCATCTAAGATCTTGAGGCAATGAAGTCAGTGTAAATTATACAGTAGTGTTTTCATTCTCTCTTTATATGTATACATACATAAATGAAGATTGATATGTATAAAATAAATGGAAAACGTAAAAAATACATCACTCATGACGTCACATCAACGTCTATGACATCACGAATAGCTTTTTGGACGCAGCCAATAGATGGCACTATTATTGAGGTATTTGGCAACTGTACCAGATTTCAAATTTGCCCCCGAGGGGGCTAGTTTATTGGGCACCCCCTTACATCCTGTGCAAGGTGAAGCGCAGAAGCGTTTACAGCGCCCAACAGGGAAGTATGAAAAGTTCATACTTGCCTTTATGACTCGTATATTAGAGGCAACTGTACCGTAAACACATTTCATATTTATTTGTGCTGGAGCTCTCCTATCTTGAGTAGAGTATCTTTGGTTGTATAGATCCCTCCACCAATCACGACAGTGCCTCATCCAAGGTAGGTAGATACCAGGTAGCCTCACGCAGGCCCATAGGAAATCACTAATTGGCAATTCTACTCTCGAGATCGCTAAGCCACGCCCCTATTGTCACTTCATACGTTTGTAATGTGGTATTATTATCTGTATAGATCCTTTCTCTAATTAAAATATACTAGCATAAAATGTTATTAATCAGATATATATTTAATAATATGTAATTACAGTGTATATTGCCATGTGAATTATACAATAAGAAAATGTTTGACGAAATTTACAATAAAACGAGAACTCGGGTCGAATTGTAAAATATTCAATACATTTCCTCCCATTTTAGTTTCATTCTGGTGTTCTGGCTGTTCCCAGCAGTTTTCTGAAGCAAAATATATTGGTGTAGATAATTTTTTCCCATGAAATATATAATTGTTGGAAATTTTTACAATACCGGTACTGTATATTTTGACAATTGAAAATGCATAATACATTATTCATAAAACAGGAAACAAAACGTATGCACATTTAATGTACTTACAATATATGATCTTCGTACGTTGTAGCATTCTTGATTTGACCTCTTAATCCCGATAGATTTATTGTTAGACGTGAGTGTGGCTTTAACGAAAGCTTTACATTGTCCACTGCTAAATGGCAATTAAACATTCAGATTTAAAATGCACTGAACATATCGTATGCCACGCCTTCACTTGTTTGGTTTTTTTTATATCTTTTCTTTTACAGGCATCTAGCCACTTTGCCTGTAACTTTATGTCCCGAGGGAATGAATAAAAATATACAAACTTTTTCTTCTTTTCCGAGTTGAATTTGCAGGTGGCTACAGCGCAATAAATCATTATAAAAAAAAAACACTCCACTTTCACTTGTAAATAACCCGCTTATACGGTTTGATGTAACGAAGTGGGCGGAGCTTAATAAGTGATGTCATCGCTAGCCAATCAGCGACGTTAGATTGAATCCAGCGGTCGCAAGCGTCACAAGAAAGATATTTATTTTTATTTTATATATTTAATCTGTGGCTCCAATTAAAATAAAACAGAAAATCTCCCTTCCATACATTTATTGTACAACTTTTGATATCGTCATAAGCCTTCAAAAATACGTAAATAAAAATTTCAATTTTATTTTCATTAGCGTAGAGCCTATGGGAGTGAGGCTACCTGGTATCTATCTACCTACCTTGGCCTCATCGCCCACACACAAGCTGTGTTAAGCCACGGCACCTTTTTGTCTCACTTAAATTCACTCCCATCCTCTCTTTAAACTTCCACTGAACCTCTTCCCCCCTGTCACTAGCCTTTATTCATTCAATGAGCCATGGCGAAGAGGTAAATGAATAATATGGGTATGGGTATTAGAACAACTCTTATTTTTCTTAACAATAATTAATCGTGTCATTAATACTTTATTTCCTTTATTGTGCTTATTTACTTCATTTACCGAACACCCACTATAGGTAGCCACGCCGAAGGAAGGAGGTAAGGGACCTGTGTAGGATCCCTCCAATGTTCTTGATAATTTTATCAAGGGCTATTTTGTGGCCCAATACTGTTCTCAATTCCACAGCTTGGGCTCGTATACCATTCCATAGGTTTACCACCCTGTGTGTGAATTTTACTTTATCCTTTTCGCCACTGATCGGTTCGTTAACCGCTTGGACGGTTGGTCACGTCTAGGTTACGCATTCGTGAAAAAAATGATCCAGAGGTGAATTGGATTACAAGCGAGGTCAAATCAAACCCAAAGGATTTCTGCCGTGATGTTAAGTCGAAATTAAAGAACGTGAGCGTATGAAATCCGAGATGTTACTTGAATATGGTAATTACGCAGACTCAGATAAGGATAAAGCGGAGGCATTAAACAAATTATTTTCCTCAGTCACAAGTGAGAATACGAACAATCTTCCTACGATTCAGGACGGTATGACACAGCAGTGACGCACATTATGTTCTCGGAAAAGAGTAGTATTAGGAAAATGGCATATGTGAGTCCTATATTCAATCAGGGAGAACGCCAGTCCACAAATAATTATGGGCCGGTGAGCTTGACCAGCATAATGTGTAAAGTACTAGAGAGCACTAACCGAGATGCCATGGTGGAACATCAACGAAACAAACTAGTAAAGGAATGACAGCAGTCCTATATTCAAGAACGGCGATCACCACTCCACGAATAATTATAGACAGAGCAAGTGTGTAAAGTACTAAAGAACATAATAAGAGATACCATGATGGAACATCTACTGCGAAACAACCTCGTGAAGGACTGCCAAGACAGTTTTATGCCGGGACTCTCCCGTTCAACACAATCAATTACTCAAGATCCTGAATGTTTCAACAAAAATTCTGGAACAAGGTGGAATATTGACAATATTTACCGAGATTTTGCCAAGGGTTTCGACAACGTACCCCATGAATGGAATGGTACGGGATTCGGTGAAATGTCCCAGCGTAGATCGGAGACTTTCTTTACGGTCGCAAGCAGTGGGTGCTGATTAATGGCACGAAATCGTCATGTGTACCTGTGACAAGTGGGGTACCACAGGGCAGTGTATTGGGCCCGCTGTTTGTTTGTTTCCTAAATGACATGCCAGAAGCTATAAACTACTCCATACAAATTTTTGCGAACGATGCCAAGTTATTCAGGGAAATTAAGAACCAAACAAACTGTATTTACTGGTGACTGAGAGGCTTTTATTACAGTTTTGGTTACCGTACTAAAGAATGGATATCGAATCCCTAGAAAGCATACAGTGGAGGATGACAAGACTAATCCCAGGCATGAGGAACCTTGAGTATAGTGGCAGATTAAAGCCACTCCCTCGAGAGACATTGAGTGAGGGGCGATATGATCGAGGTGTATAAATGGAAGTCAGGGTTAAACAAAGGCGATAAAACGAAGGTAATTAACTATCCAACCAGGTACGAACTCGTAGCAACGGTTTCAAATTAGACAAATTTAGATTTAGGCGCAAGATAGGTAAACACTGGTTTGGAAATAGAGTAGTGGATGAGTGGAAAAAGTTATCAAACATCATTAACTCGAACACGCTGGATAGCTTCAAATATAGGTTGCGCAGATATAGGAGCGATAGGGGTTGGGTGTAGACGGGACTGCCCAGTATGGACCAATAGGCCCGCTGCAGTTTCCTCCATTATTATGTGTTCTTACATCCTCTGTGGTACCCCCGTGTCTCCAAACAGCCAACCTATAGCAAACCTATCCACCAATGATGTCCGTCATGACCAACACCGTTGCCGTTTGAAGACGGGGTGTAGAACACATTTCCGTAACTACCACTAGCGTGGAATAGGTTCGACAGAAGAAAAACTCATTTGTGGTTTTTACATTTATTTAAGTCTCGTGTTTTTGAAGCAGGTAACACTTACAGTCAACCAGGTACTGTACTAGTAATATATGCCTTACCGGTAAATTTGTAACTATTTAGATAAATGCAGAATATAGCAAATTACAGCCCATATCAAGTGTAGAGGGAAATCGGTGCCACACACCCACATCCCATTATTGCAATTTTAATTAATAAAAACAACTAACAGTTCATATTAAGTATATAACTGGACCCCACAAGTTTTTTCATGCTACTACAGTACAGTCTTTACATTCATCCTGTCAGCTTTGCTTTAAGCTTATCCATGTTAGCTTTGAAGTTAGTTGGAGGATTACCTTTAGTGCCCAACCCAGTGATAGCAAAGGTTCCCCCAGCAGATGGGTTGGAGGCGATTTCTTGAGGGGAGAGTTTGAGGGTTCCTGAGGTGACGTACAATGTGGAGTAGTCTTTGCCACCCCAGCACACAGACGTCACATTCTTGGATGGCACAGTCACCTTACGAATCACTTTACGTGCTTTAGGGTCTACACAGATGACCTGATGAGAGGTAAGTTTTATGTCATTATGATCCATAAAATATTCCTTCGTTGACTATTATAGAATTGTTCAATCACTAAAAAATTACTAATAAGATTATGGCACATTTGACCCACACATGTTGGTATTTAGTATTATATAATTATACACGTACTATTAGCAAAGTGCAATAAAATGATAACGTTTATTATTATGTATGATAGCAAGCAGTGGGTGGCGATTAATGGTAGGAAAACGTCATGTGTACCCGTAACAAGCGGGGTACCACAGGGCAATGTATTGGACCCGTTGTTGTATGTTTGTTTCATAAATGACATGCCAGAAACTATACGCTCCTTCATACAAATGTTTGCGGACGATGCCAAGTAATTCAGGGAAATTAAGAACCAAACAGACTGTGAAGAGCTGCAGAAAGATCTCAGTAAGCTTCAAGAATCGTCAAAGAAATGGCTGCTACGATTCAATGTCATGAAGTGTAAAAGGATGCACATGAGTCGTACTAACGGTAAAGAGGCATATCATATACCCCAATGGGACGAAAAAACTGCATTAATAGGGACTGAATGTGCAAAGGATCTGGGTGTGTATGTTGACAATGAACTAAAGCTCTTGGGTCATTGCAAGAAGGCGAATCAAGTAACTAAACTAGTAGGTCTTATAAGATCATTCAGATATCTTGACGGTCCGTCCCTCGTAACGCTTTTCAAGAGTGAGGTGCTTCCCCGCCTGGGGTACTGTCAACCCGTCTGGTCCCGAGATATGTTAGGGACTGTCACTTGACTGAAAATTTCCAAAGGAGGGCCACCAGACTGGTGCCTGCACTCCGGCACCTCAGTTATCCAGAGAGATTAGAGCGCCTGCAACTGCCTAGCTTATTCTACAGACGGGCGAGGGGGACCTAATAGAGGTGCAAAAACATCTCAAACGGCATTACTCAGATGAGTGTCCATTCCTGGAGTAAGCAGACGCCCGCCCCACAAGGGTCACAGCTCAAGGTAGAAGAAGCAAAAAGTCCAGAAAACTGGAAGGCAAACTTTGTCAGAGTGAGAGTTGTGAACTCTTGGAACAATCTGCCAGAGAGCATTGTGACGGCACCGAGTGTGAGCTCTTTCAAGACCAGACTTGACCAACGCTGGAGCAGGTACAAATACATTCAGGAGCTAGTTCATGCCCAGTACTTGCCAACAGTGTTTAACAGACATTACCGACCGCCAAGCGGCTAACGAGCCGATCAATGGCGAAGAGGATAAAAGTAAAAAAAAAGCCACCCCGCAGTGTAGGTAACACAGTAGGCACACCAGTGTAAGTAACACAGTAGGCACACCAGTGTAAGTAACACAGTAGGCACATCACAGTGTAAGTAACACAGTAGACACCCCACAGTGTAGGTAACAGTCGACAACCCACAGTGTAGGTAACACAGTAGGCACACCACAGTGTAGGTAACACAGTAGGCACACCAGTGTAAGTAACACAGTAGGCACACCACAGTGTAAGTAACAGAGTAGACACACCACATGGTAATTAAGACAGTAGACACACCAGTGTAGGTAACACATTAGACACCAGTGTAGGTAACACAATAGACACACCAGTGTAAGTAACACAGTAGGCATACCACAGTGTATGTTTCAGAGTAGACACCACAGTGTAAGTAACACAGTAGACACACCACAGTGAAACAGAGTACACACACACCACAGTGAAAGTAACACAGTAGACACACCACAGTGAAAGTAACAGTACACACACACCACAGTCAAAGTAACACAGTAGACACACCACAGTAACACAGTAGACACACCACAGTGTAAGTAACACAGTAGACACACCACAGTCAAAGTAACAGTACACACACCACAGTCAAAGTAACACAGTAGACACACCACAGTAACACAGTAGACACACCACAGTGTAAGTAACACAGTAGACACACCACAGTCAAAGTAACAGTACACACACCACAGTCAAAGTAACACAGTAGACACACCACAGTAACACAGTAGACACACCACAGTGTAAGTAACACAGTAGACACACCACAGTCAAAGTAACAGTACACACACCAGTCAAAGTAACACAGTAGACACACCACAGTAACACAGTAGACACACCACAGTGTAAGTAACACAGTAGACACACCACAGTCAAAGTAACACAGTAGACACACCACAGTAACACAGTAGACACACCACAGTGTAGGTAACAGTATATAGCACTCACCTGGCTCCCACCGAAGCAGGCCACCCACAAGTTACCCTCCACGTCTATGGTCATCCCATCAGGAAATTGGTCCTGGAGTCCTGCGGCCTCGTACTCCAGTAGTACACGCTGGTTACCTGGAGGAGGTATTGTGTACAGTACACACCACCATTTATACATGTCTCGACTTAAACACATTTCTACTTGAATATACCTCCACTTATATAATTATGTTTTCACTTGTATATACCTCCACTTATATAATAATGTCTTTATTTATATATACCTCTACTTATTTGTATCCACTTACATATGCCTCCACTTATGTACACCTTCACTTATGCACACTCGTACACTATCCGTACACCCAGAGCCACACCTCCCAGCCAGTCTAAATTTACAACCTATAGTAACTCCCAGTCACATCTCCTAGCCACATCCCCCACTCTGTCACACCTCCCAAGAAACAATAATGAAGGAATATATCATACTGATGGTGCCGGCAGCGTCGGCATAGTCGAAGTAGTAGATGCTCTTGGCGGGGGTGTCGATGTAGTAGAAGGTCTTCCTGTCATGACTCCAGGCTAGCCCGTTAGATATTGTCACCTGCAACACACACAGAGGTTATGTCTGCCACTGTAGTGTTTATGTCTTATATTGTACACACACACACACACACACACACACACACACACACACACACACACACTTTGAATGTTTATGGTGACAGCACGATATATGTAAATTGTGTAATAATTTATTTTAGATAAACGTTTTGAGGAATCTTATAAAGTTAAACACATTAAAGACATAATTATCCCATTATGAATATCTAAGTAGTAAAGACTAGTTGCGTTTTAAGTATTTACCTACCTTCTGTACCCAGCTGGTGAAGACAAGGTCATGGTCGTACTTGAACAAGGAGGAAGTGTTGAACTCGAGTAACTCACCCTTCTCATCCAGGGGGCCCATCGTGCCTGTAGGGAACAACCGAGGAAATGTATGGTCATCCACAATGGTCAGCTGTAACACACTGTCTTAACACTAACCTACAAACACACACACAACAAAGTCTCACTTGGATAACAACACTAGTGGCTCCCAAGGCCATTTGGACCAGGTTTCAGCATTGATATCTATTTATGTCTTCCCGTTCTGTCTATCTGACCTTTTCTTTCACCCACGACGGGGGAGGGGTAGGTGATGGAGAGGGGGTAGAGGGTGCTCGGGGTGAGGGATCGAAGTAATATGAGCATCATCTTATCACGCCCTCGACTCTTCAGGCTTCTACGCCCTTAACTCATGAGACATAAAGGCAAGCATGAACTTAGCATGCTTCCCTGTTGGGCGCTGTAAACGCATCTGCGCTTTACCTTACACAAGGATGTAGGGAGGTGCCCAATAAAATAAATAAATAAATAAATAAAATAAAACTTGCACAATCTCTCTCTCATGTCTGATAAGCTTCCCACTTTCTCTGAAAGAAATGGACTTTCACTATTCACAAGAAGGGGTTACATCCCACTTAACAATTCCTAAATAGAGGAATCCCAAATATACACAATTCAAGAATATAAACTAGCATAGACTAGAGAACAAAATAACATCACAACTTAAATTATCCAATTAAAGTCAATGCACACAAAAATACTAATACCAATTTCTCCTAGTTATACAATATAAACCTTGGCAGGAACCACCTCCTCCTTCTAGTTATACAATATAAACCTTGGCAGGAACCACCTCCTCCTTCTAGTTATACAATATAAACCTTGGCAGGAACCACCTCCTCCTTCTAGTTATACAATATAAACCTTGGCTGAGACTTTCTCCTTCTAGTTATACTATATAAACCATGGCAGGAACCACCTCCTCCTTCTTCTGAATTTATACTATACTAAACCTTGGCAGGAACCACCTCCTCCTTCTAGTTATACAATATAAACCATAGCAGAACCACCTCCTCCTTCTTCTAGTTATACAATATAAACCTTGGCAGGGGAACCACCTCCTCTATTTCAGATTATACAATATAAACCATGGCAGGAATTGCCTCCTCCTTCTTCTAGTTATACAATATAAACCTTGGCAGGAACCACCACCTCCTAGTTATACAATATAAACCATAGCAGGAACCACCTCCTCCCTTCTAGTTATACTATACTAAACCTTGGCAGGAACCACCACCTCCTTCTAGTTATATACAATATAAACCATGAGGAGCCACCTCCTCCTTCTAGTTATAAAATATAAACCATGTGAGAACCACCACCTCCTTCTAGTTATAAAATATAAACCTTGGCAGGAACCACCACCTCCTTCTAGTTATACAATATAAACCTTGGCAGGAGCCACCACCTCCTTCTAGTTATACAATATAAACCTTGGCAGGAACCACCTCCTCCTTCTAGTTATAAAATATAAACCATGGCAGGAACCACCTCCTCCTTCTAGTTATAAAATATAAACCTTGGCAGGAACCACCACCTCCTTCTAGTTATACAATATAAACCTTGGCAGGAACCACCTCCTCCTTCTAGTTATACAATATAAACCATGGCAGGAACCACCTCCTCCTTCTAGTTACTAAAATATAAACCATGGCAGGAACCACCTCCTCCTTCTAGTTGTAAAATATAAACAGCAGCAGGAACCACCACACCTCCTTCTAGTTATACAATATAAACCTTGGCGGAACCACCACCTCCTTCTGGTTATACAATATATAGCAGCAGGAACCACCTCCTCCTTCTAGTTATAAAATATAAACCATGGCAGGAACCACCTCTTCCTTCTAGTTATACAATATAAACCTTGGCAGGAACCACCTCTTCCTTCTAGTTATACAATATAAACCTTGGCAGGAACCACCTCTTCCTTCTAGTTATACAATAAACCATGGCAGAACCACCACCTCCTTCTAATAGTTATACAATATAAACCTTGGCAGGAACCACCTCTTCCTTCTAGTTATACAATATAAACCTTGGCAGGAACCACCTCCTCCTTCTAGTTATAAAATATAAACCATGGCAGGAACCACCTCTTCCTTCTAGTTATACAATATAAACCTTGGCAGGAACCACCTCTTCCTTCTAGTTATACAATATAAACCTTGGCAGGAACCACCTCTTCCTTCTAGTTATAAGAAATATAAACCATGGCAGGAACCACCACCTCCTTCTGGTTATAAATAAACCACTTGGCAGGAACCACCTCCTCCTTCTAGTTTGCAAAATACCAGCACCAGCAGGAACCACCACCTCCTTCTAGTTATACAATATAAACCTTGGCAGGAGCCACCACCTCCTTCTAGTTATACAATATAAACCCTGGCAGGAACCACCTCCTCCTTCTAGTTATAAAATATAAACCATGGCAGGAACCACCTCCTCCTCTAGTTATAAAATATAAACCCTGGCAGGAACCACCACCTCCTTCTAGTTATAAAAATATAAACCATGGCAGGAACCACCTCCTCTTTCTAGTTATACTATATAAACCCTGGCAGGAACCACCTCCTCCTTCTAGTTATAAATATAAACCTTGGCAGGAACCACCTCACTCCTTCTAGTTATTATATATAAACCCTGGCAGGAACCACCTCCTTCTAGTTATAAAATATAAACCTTGGCAGGAACCACCTCCTCCTTCTAGTTATAAAATATAAACCTTGGCAGGAACCACCTCCTCTTTCTAGTTATACAATATAAACCTTGGCAGGAGCCACCTCCTCCTTCTAGTTATACTATATAAACCCTGGCAGGAACCACCTCCTCCTTCTAGTTATAAAATATAAACCATGGCAGGAACCACCTCCTTCTTCTAGTTATACAATATAAACCTTGGCAGGAACCACCTCCTCCTTCTAGTTATAAAATATAAACCATGGCAGGAACCACCTCCTCCTTCTAGTTATAAAATATAAACCTTGGCAGGAACCACCACCTCCTTCTAGTTATAAAATATAAACCTTGGCAGGAGCCACCTCCTCCTTCTAGTTATAAAATATAAACCTTGGCAGGAGCCACCTCCTCCTCCCTAGTTATACTATATAAACCCTGGCAGGAACCACCTCCTTCTTCTGGTTATACAATATAAACCTTGGCAGGAGCCACCTCCTCCTTCTAGTTATACTATATAAACCCTGGCAGGAACCACCTCCTCCTTCTAGTTATAAAATATAAACCATGGCAGGAACCACCTCCTCCTTCTAGTTATAAAATATAAACCATGGCAGGAACCACCTCCTCCTTCTAGTTATACTATATAAACCTGGCAGGAACCACCTCCTCTTTCTAGTTATACAATATAAACCTTGGTAGGAGCCACCTCCTCCTTCCTATATAACCTGGCAGGACCACCTCCTCCTTCTAGTTATACTATATAAACCCTGGCAGGAACCACCTCCTTCTTCTAGTTATACAATATAAACCTTGGCAGGAACCACCTCCTCCTTCTAGTTATAAATATAAACCATGGCAGGAACCACCTCCTCCTTCTAGTTATATATAAACCTGGCAGGAACCACCTCCTCCTTCTAGTTATAAAATATAAACCTTGGCAGGAACCACCACCTCCTTCTAGTTATAAAATATAAACCTTGGCAGGAGCCACCTCCTCCTTCTAGTTATAAAATATAAACCTTGGCAGGAGCCACCTCCTCCTTCCTAGTTATACTATATAAACCCTGGCAGGAACCACCTCCTTCTTCTAGTTATACAATATAAACCTTGGCAGGAGCCACCTCCTCCTTCTAGTTATACTATATAAACCCTGGCAGGAACCACCTCCTCCTTCTAGTTATAAAATATAAACCATGGCAGGAACCACCTCCTCCTTCTAGTTATAAAATATAAACCATGGCAGGAACCACCTCCTCCTTCTAGTTATACTATATAAACCCTGGCAGGAACCACCTCCTCTTTCTAGTTATACAATATAAACCTTGGTAGGAGCCACCTCCTCCTTCTAGTTATACTATATAAACCCTGGCAGGAACCACCTCCTCCTTCTAGTTATACAATAGAAGCCTTGGCAGGAACAACCTCCTCCAAGTTATACAATACGTATAAACCCTGGCAGGAACCACCTCCTCCTCCTTTTAGCTGTACAATATAAACCTTGGCAGAACCCACCCCTCCTTCTAAAGCTGTCTACCCATTATAATTTCCTATATAAACAGCAGTGGCTCACCTGCCCACAGTCGTCCTTGAGGATCACACTTAGCATCATTGAAGTGGTCATCAGTGGTGGTCTGGATAACCTTGGTTTTGATGGTGTGAATGTCTGGGTCAGAGGTAGACCAGCGCACCACAGAGAGCGCCTTGCCCAGACCCACCACCATCAGCTCTGGGTCGTCGTGCACGGGGATCACCATACTCACGACCTCCGCCACCCCGCCATCATCTGTACCAATACACACTTTATTTACTCTTACTCTACTATAATATCGTGCACCCCCACATTCCATCTTCTGGTGTTACTCAAAGTGAGTGCAATGCAAAAGGTGAGGGTGGTACTCCTTCGTTGTTCTTTTTATTAGTTTGTTTTTATTTTTTGTTTGTTTGTCTCGGCAATATAATAATAATAATAATAATAATAATAATAATAATAATAATAATAATAATTAACGGTTTATTGAAGGAGCATAGCAGCCAGAAGGCTGAAAATACTGTATACAGTTACATAATTGGGGAATGGGTTTCGATTTGCAAATAATATACAAGTAAAATAAGTGATACAAATAAGATATATAATAACTAGATGGGGAAAAGCTCAAACTACAGGGCATCTGATGTACTTTGAGTTTGGATACAATATTTCATGACATGACATGGGGGTGGTTTACAATGTTCATGGCACACGCATGCACACGCATACACACACACACACACACACTTTTTACTTTAAAATTTATCCTTTTCACCACTGATCGGCTCTCTAGCCGCTTGGGAGATCAGTCACGTCTCTGTTAGGCACTGTTGGCAAGTGCTGGGAATGCACTGGTTCCTGAATGCATCTGAACCTGCTCCAGTGTTGGTCAAGTCTGGTCTTGAAAGAGCTCACACTTGGTGCCGTCACAATGCTCTCTGGCAGATTGTTCCAAGAGTTCACAATTTTCACCCCAAAAAAGTTACCACACACACACACACACTCAAACATACCCAAAGACAGACAGACAGACAGAGACACACACACATTGACAGGCTCCTCACCTAAATTCAATAACTGATGTCTTCCGGTGTTGATAAAGTGTCGCCGAAGAGCTTTATCGAAGACGTCAACATAGAGGAGAGCTTGAAGGTCCTCCTGCCAGTGTGGACCTTCACCCAGCTTCATACATGGCACGGGCAGCTTCTCTACCGTCTCGCTTGTCATAGCTGCTTCTTCAACCTACATAATCATAATGTGTCTTAATTAAACATACAGGTGATATAATCCAACAATTAGTAGGGTAGTGTATGGACTGATTAGTCAGTATACAGGCAGGTGAGTTAATATATGGGTTGGCGAGTCAATATACAGGCAGGTGAGTTAATGTACAGGTTGGTGAGTCAATATACAGGTTGGTGAGTCAATATACAGGTTGGTGAGTCAATATACAGGTTGGCGAGTCAATATACAGGTTGGTAAGTCAATATACAGGTTGGGGAGTCAAAATACAGGCTGAGTCAATATACAGGTTGGTGAGTCAATATACAGGTTGGCGAGTCAATATACAGGTTGGCGAGTCAATATACAGGTTGGGAGTCAATATACAGAGTCAATATACAGGTTGAGTCAATATACAGGTTGGGAGTCAATATACAGGTTGGTGAGTCAATATACAGGTTGGGAGTCAATATACAGAGTCAATATACAGGTTGAGTCAATATACAGGTTGGGAGTCAATATACAGGTTGAGTCGAGTCAATATACAATATACAGGTTGGCGAGTCAATATACAGGTTGGTGAGTCAATATACAGGTTGGTGAGTCAAAATACAGGTTGGCGAGTCAATATACAGGTTGGTGAGTCAATATACAGGTTGGTGAGTCAATATACAGGTTGGTGAGTCAATATACAGGTTGGGGAGTCAATATACAGGTTGGTGACTCAATATACAGGTTGGCGAGTCAATATACAGGTTGGCGAGTCAATATACAGGTTGGCGAGTCAATATACAGGTTGGTGAGTCAATATACAGGTTGGGGAGTCAATATACAGGTTGGTGAGTCAATATACAGGTTGGTGAGTCAATATACAGGTTGGCGAGTCAATATACAGGTTGGCGAGTCAATATACAGGTTGGCGAGTCAATATACAGGTTGGCGAGTCAATATACAGGTTGGCGAGTCAATATATAAAATGCAATGAGATAACACCCGGACAAGCAAGTAAGAAATAAAGCATACAGTACAATCACCAATGGCCCCATTTCGGCTGATCCGAGACCTAGAGGTACGGGCTTCGCGCGTCACCTGGAGACGGAATGGGGGAGAGGGGTGTACAGTTGTTGCAAAGGTGAAAAAAATACATTAACGCTGAAGATTCGTCATCCCAGTTTATTTCACCTTAAGTTTAACCACCCTATCGCTATCTTAACCTAACGTAACGCTACCTTAACCTAACCTTACCTAACGCTACCTTAACCTAACCCAATCTAAACTTAACCTAACGCTAACTTAACGTAATCTAACCTAAGCTAATACTAACCCAGTCTACCTAAAAATAACTCTAATCTAACCAATTTTAACACTAAACAATCCTAAGCGAACCTAATGCTATTCTAACCTAACACTAACCATATGCTAACCCAACCTGATGCTTACCTAACCTAACCTAATGCTAGCATTAGAGTGATTAATCTTCCGGTAAAATAAGCTGAGGGTACTGTACAGGTGATCCGGCACTATCAAATATCTCGAGAATTTTCAAAATTGACTATTGTTATGATAATTAAAATACCTTGAGTGTGTAGTATGTAATGATGGTGGTGGACTGCAACACACTGAGGCTCGGCGTCTCCTTCTCCCTGGCCTCACCTCATATCAACAGTTAGGTGGAGTGGCCGGGTGTTGCCCTCACCTTACCTCCCTCCCTCACACCTCATCTCACTACTCCTTAACGCACGTTTTTCCCATTAAGATATTTATCATAATATTAACTAGCACTTCTCAGTATCATACAAATAATAAGGAAAATATTAATCATTATTTTATGAGAAATATTACCGAATATAATGAATTGTATATTATAGGCTAACCGGCAACTTTGCTCGGTAACTGCTTAACCTGTTTTACCAGTAGTGATAATACACTGTACTTATTGCTAGTGATATATCATACCACCCATACTCTATACTTAATGCTAGTGATATATCATACACTATACTTATTGGTATATATCATGCACTGTACTTTTTGGTACAATCAAAATAGCATACTTATCAGGGGCGGCTCCAGGGAGAGGGGGGGGCGCTAGCGGTCCGGACCCCCCCAAATTCACCAGAAAATTCCAATACATTTTCTTTAAAGTATTATTGTAATCAGATATTTTTGCATGGTTAAAAGTAATTACCATTGACTCAATACCTTTGAGTATTGAGTCATGTTACGAGCTTCCCTGTGTCAAGTTTGATTGATAAGAGATAAAGTGTTGAAGTGTGTTGTTGTTTTATCTAATCTGCTCCTCCCTTTCTCAGTCAGTTATCTTACACCACCCATTGTTTAAAGGCATCAAGGTTAAACCAAGAGTAAAAGCTGGAGTTCTCTTCGCCAAGGATATACAGGTAGAAAAGGTTTTATCTTCCCCAAATAAATCTTTAAGATCTATTGTGTCAATATCCAAAATAAACCACAGATTATATTATATTTTATTTTATTTTATTCGGTATATATTCGGGAAAGTTGGAAGAGACGGTTATCACCGGAAGGAGCTGATGGAATTGCTGCAAAATTTCTGGAAATGTTATTTACATGATATTAAATAAGAAAATGGAAACAACAATGCACAGAACCTACCTAGCCAAGCTAACCTTACTTAACTTCCTAACTGGATCCCGTAACAGCAAAAGAAGCTTACCTTAATCCTAAGTGGATCAAGTGCAATATAGAGAAATATATGTGCGTCAAGTGCAGTACAGAGGAAATATTAAAGAGATAAGAAATTTTGCATCAATAACATAACTGTATGTACTATAATTGATTATATGAGCTATATTTGTATTAAGGGTTTATGTGAGTCCTAAGGGGGACATTCCTGGATTGGGGAGGGGATGATTTATGTCACTTCATCCCATTAAGATGTTTTTTTTATCTCAATAAACGTATCAATCAATCAAGTGCAGCGATGAGATCCGACTGTTACACTTACAATAATTTTTCTTTAAAAATCAGGACTTTGCCCCTTTTTGGACACTTGCGCGTCCTTCCAATAAGTCCATGGTAATGCGAGTCCTTTACACTGCACTACATCTCCCGTGTCGCCTGCATCTCATTGTGCGCCTAGGCAGTAGGCAGGCTAAGCGTCCCCTAACCCCTCCAGGGAGAAGAATAAGATAAGGCAATGGGAAAGTAAAGTTTATTAAATTGAAAACAAAAGAAAATTATGTAAATATTTACGTTATTATAACCCTTGATAAGATCCTCCAGTTTTTGTTTTACTTGTTAACAAATCTGAAATCACAAATTTATAATTTAAGAGTGAACGAGAACAATGGACGCCACTGGAGAATAAGCAACAAAATATTTACGGTAAATAAATTATTTATTCGCGTACAAAGCACGTAGAGCCGTAAAATTACTGCCCTCTGATCATTTTTTGTCATATTTTACCCCCAAATCCCTCTTTTTTCATACCCTGCCTACTACAGGTGATTTATGATTGAAGGTGGAGGGAAATTATATATATATATATATATATATATATATATATATATATGCTGATAACCACAAGGAAACAAAAAACACGGCAGGGTCGTTCACAGATGTTGCACATGTGGAGGGCTCCATCTAGCGCGGGAGGAGCAGCGGCAGCGTCTCTGCGGCGTTTGTGCTTGCCTGCCTCGGTTTGCAGTCAGACTAACTCTAAAGTATTGACTCCTCGTGTGGTGCTCCTCCAAGCGTTACAGTGTGGAGTAATCGTCTCCCAGGTGAGGGGTCGATTTGGCATGTTTTCAGGTTTGTCTTAAGACTATCCTTATACCTTTTCAGTTACCTACCAGCATTACGTTTACTATTCGTTAAGTGACTGTAAAGTAGCTGCTTTGGCAGTCTACTGTCGTACATGTGGGTAACATGGCCATTCCAACGTAGTTCATGGATAATGGTAGCCTCGATGCTCCTACAGTTGGTGTCAGCGAGAAGACTGGCATTTGTTCTCTTGACTTCGCAGTGAGGATGGAATGTAGACTATGTTGGTGAAAGTTTTCAAGTGTCTTGAGGTGCCTCCTGTATGTGACCCATGTATCGCTGCCATATAGCAGGGTAGGGAGGACCACTGCTCGTAAGACGTGCAACTTTGTAGATAATTTCAGCTCCCTACAGCTGAAGACATGGGTACGGAGTCTGCCAAAGGCTTGAGATACACATCTGATTCGACGTTGAATCTCTTTATCGATTTCCGCGGTGGTGGACAGATGGGAGCCCAAATACTGAAAGTGGGTAACAGTAGAGAGGGTAGTACCGTTAAGCTGGATGGATGGTGGAGGTGTGGCTGAACCAGGGGCAGCCTGAAAGAGAATCTGAGTCTTATGCACATTCACCTCAAGGCCGAAGTGTGCATACGCATCTGCGTAGGTGTTCAGGATCTCCTGTAGGTCGCGTTCAGTGTGAGCGACAAGGGTGAGGTCGTCTGCATACTGAAGTTCAGTAATGGAAGCTGCCAATACCTTTGTTCCTGCCTGGAGTCGTCTTATGTTGAAAAGACCCTTCATCCGGTACTGGATGTCCACCCTGCTGGCTAAATTGGCACTGGTGTCATGGTTACAATGGCATGGTTAGTCTGTTCAACACTTAATTATTCATATTATGCTACACCGCATACTATCATCCAAAGAACATCTCTTGAAAAATTGAGCCAATTCTATAAACCACAGTACTTCTGGTGGTGTATTGGTCTCGGTGTTTGTTTCATAAATGACACGCAGGGACTACACTCCTCCATACAAATGTTTGCAGACGATGCCAAGTTATTTAGGGAAATTAAGAACTAAACAGACTGCAAAGAGCTGCAGAAAGATCTCAGTGAGCTTCAAGAGTGGTCGAAGAAATAACTGCTAAGATTCAATGTCACGAAGTGTAAGAGGATGCATCTGGTACATCCTAACGGTAAGGAGGAATATCATATGACCCAATGGGACGAAGAAACTGCATTAATAGAGACTGAACGCGAAAAGGACCTGGGAGGTGTATGTTGACAATGAAATGAAGTTCTCCTGCCAGTGTGAGAAGAAGGTGAATCGAGCAACAAAACGAGTAGGTCTTACAAGAAGGTCGTTCAGATATCTAGACGGTCCGTCCCTCGTAACGATCTTCACAAGGTGCTTCCCCGCCTAAGTTACTATCACCCCGTCTGGTCCCTGAGATAAGCTAGGGACTGTCAGTTGATTGAAAATGTCCAAGAAAGGGCCACCAGAGTGGTGCCCGCACTTCAGTTATCCAGAGAGATTAGAGCGCCAGAAATTGCCTAGCTTATACAACAGACGGGCAGCGGTGAATTAATCTGAGGTGTATAAGCATCTCAAAGGGTACTCACTTCTCAGTCGAGAATCCATACCTGGAGCTGGCGAACGTCCGCTCCACAAGGAGTCACAGCTCAAGGTTGAAGAAGCCACAAGTCCAGAAAATTGTGAAGACAAACTTTTTCGGAAGTGAGAATTGGGAACTCTTAGTACAACCTGCCAGAGTGTTGTGATGGCACCGAGTGTGAGCTCTTTCAAGACCAGACTTGACCAACACTGAAGCAGGTTCCGATACATTCAGGAGCCAGTGCATGCCCAGTACTTGTCAACGAACCGATCAGTGGTGAATAGGGTTAAAGTAAAGTAAAAAGTACGTGTTAATACCAACATAAATCATATGGCATTGTTAATAATAAATGTTACTCGCAACAGTTTCATTTACGGGGTTTCATCACATTCCTGCCAAACCTGTCATAGGCAGATTAAAAGAAAAATATGTATATTTGGTTAGTATACTGTACATGATGTACAGTAGGCTCTCACCAATAACGTTTAATAGGTGCCTGAAAAACACCGTTATTAGCGAAAACGTTATTTGTGCGACATTAAAATACATGTAAAAAGGGTTTATTGGTGCCGCCGCCACAAGAATTTCACCCATTTTTTCCCCTTGAAGCCCTCCAAACACTTTTTGTTAGCTGAAATAAAAAGAATTGCTATTCAATCATCAAAATAAAGAGTTTGAGTAATATAACACTTAGTTTTTGAGGTGCTTGGTGTGATGATTGTTCCGTATCTGAGGGCCGCTAACACTTGCACTGTCTTTCATTCTACAAGTTAACCATTTCACAAGAAAATGCTCTGTTATCACTAACAACCTGTTTCTACCGCCTTTATCATTCATAGCTCGCCTCGCATTTCCATCACTACCGAAATATTTTTAGCCAGCACAATACTCTTCTTGGTCTCCTCTAAGTTCCTCTTAATATTTTGCACTGTAGACTCAGGACAGTTCAATTTCCTCACTTTAAAAGTTCCCAGTCATTCAGGTGGCAAATCACTCCCTCCACCACCTCCCCTAGCCTCCACAGGCAAAAATGCGTTAGCCATTATTGATCACCGACCCTAACAACCACTGGTTATAGTGGCGAAAATCTCACAGGTGGGCGCAGCGCTGTATTCCACTGAGAGTGCGTGAGAGTGAGGCGGAGTGGACAACTACGTCATCAACACGGCGGCAAACAAATGCTATCATTGATGCGCTCGGACGCTTTCCGCGAAATTTCCGTTATTCAAGAGAATCCAGACGTTATTATCGAAAATGGGTACCTATTGTAACTTACCGTTATTGTCGAAAACGTTATTGTGGAAGTCTTTATTGGCGAGAGCCTACTGTAAGACTTTCTAGTGTACGTTG